ACTTGCCTGGCCGCGCGACGTACTGTCGTCGTGTCGATATTCTTCGAAGTACACAATGTATGCATGCATCAATGCATGCAGTGTGCGTTGATTTTTTCCGCTTTCGATGTTTTTTCAAAACGAAACCGGTCGCTACCCACCCACCCATAAACGAAACTTTTTCGTTTCGTGAAAAAGATCGATAATTACGGATGGCCCCTAATCGAATAATTTGTAATATCCGTCGGCTGAACGAATAATCGAATAATCATAGGAATTGGCAGAAAATTGAAAAAAAACTTGTCTATGCTTCGTGTTGCCCTGCTGATGCTTGCACTGCATAGATCTGCTCGTAATATTTCTTCTCAATCTCCTTTCCTCCGAGTTTTAATCGCCTGTCTCTTGACTACTTCTCTTCTTTACACACTGTACTCTTGCTGTGTGCAACCTGTAGTTACTAGTACTCGCGCTGGCATGCATGTGCAGGTGTGTAGAAAAAGGTAAATTATCGTGTCCGTTCCCGAACGGAATTCACGACGGCTGCTAACACCCGGTAAATTAAAAACCCTAGTGGCAGATGCAGTGCCGTATGGTGAGGGTGAGGGATTAAGGCTCACAACCACTGGCACAAGTGCCGAGAAGCCCCGTTACCGTGTGCGGTTTCGTGCCAAAAACAACTAGTGAAAAAGTGATGCAAAGTGTTAAAAGATTCCATCACACGTATGATAGAATATAGATTTTTCGTTCGATGGAGGGCAAATATATTCGATAGATCATTTGTTCAAAGAATCCATGTTCGGTTTAAAGATTAGCACTAATTGGCCTAGCGTGTCATTACAATGGCGTTATGAGCAGCAGCAACTTGTTCTTTTATCTATTCCGAAGTAGCTGTTGGGCAGTCAGAGCAGTGACAAGAACAGCACCTACGAGAGCAAGAATGGAGCCAACTACTTAGTGAAACCATGCATAACGAGCAGGATGTCTATAGTGAACTATATAGGGGACTAGGATACTGCAGTGTCAAACAGTCACAACTCTTGCACATACGTCATCTGCACGAACAGTTTGGTTTCAGCTTGCCAATCTACACTATCTCCAGCACATCAAGATGAAATTGGCTTCACGCACTCGTTTGGGTGTTGAAATATGAGTGAATGTTGCGTTTGCAGACATCCAGTGGCTTCTGTGCTTCGTGTTTCCAAGAGTTGATGTTTAAATTTGTCGACCAATCTCCCTACCCTCACCCCGTCTCCCCTTCCTGTCTGTCCTTCCCGTCTCAACATCTCCCATTCGCTCCACAGCCCAACTCAAGCCGCTGTTCAAGAACTCCATAACGAACTCAGATGGAGAGCTAAGGATTAGTTATAAAAGTAAAAAGACCAAGGAGGTACAAGTTACGCTATAATGTCTACTAACACCACCAGTTACTAAACAATCAGCTCATGCGATAACATTCCCCTATTTATGTAATTTCTATATCTTAGAACCTTCCAAGTTGGAAGGCTGCTGGAGTGCGCATCCAAGATGTGCTATAGCTGTTAGCAAGTTAGTTGTAGAATGTCAGTACCGTCGGTCAGTGACGTGCAATGTTATCACATGAGCTGATTGTTTAGTACCTGGTGGTGTTAGTGGACATTAGAGTGTAACTTGTAGTTCCTTGGTCCTTTTTACTTTTGATAACTCCATAACGGGAAGCTTTAACCCTTTGAGGACTACCACGAATGACCTGGATTCCTACAGGGTACACACAGAGGCGCGCAACAGTCGGATAATGGCAACGTAGAATGTTGATTCAAAGTCCTGCATATTTCAGAATATCAAGGACTTCATTTGGTCCTCACTACGAATGCGCCGTGCAATCATGAGTCACACGGAATGTCCCTGTTTGAGCACTGCCACGCTCGCCATGCCGGGGATTTGAACACAAATTTAAGCGCAACGTGTTTTGCTCTTGGGCGCTCAGTGATTTTTCACTGCGTCATGTGAAGCGACACACCGTGGGAAAGCTTGTTCTATCAGCTTTCCAACGAGCCCTCAACCATGTCAATCGGAAGAAGGATAATTGAGTTAGGACAATTTGCACTGTGATCTACATGCGCTGCACAAACTGAAAATTTGAAAACGGATACATGTATACTCGTCCTTAGAAATCCAGCTATACCTTAAAATAAGGACATATTGGCCCTTCATCCTCAATGGGTAAAAAAAATGGACGCGCCAAGCACAGATACGCTTAGACTTGAGACAAAGGATTAAAAACTTTGAGAAAGTGAGAGGAGAGAGCGACACTCACTGCAACACAGCTGTCACAGGCGGTGAGAAGGCACACAACATGCCTGTTAACTTTGGTGAAGTAAAATACATGTCTAGACAAACAACTCCAGAACGTACGTGAGCACTTGGTAGGAGCTGGACTTGTGGATGACGTCGTCGCCACTGTAGTAGGGACCAAGAACAACGTTGCCAAACCAAGCAATAATAGCAATTGCAGATTGGCGTGAGAACTTCACACAAAACTAAGGTGGATGGGGTGTGTTGACGGAGTTCTGTGTTGCCACCAGTCTAATGTCGCTAAACTGACTAATGGAGAAAGATGTGGCAAAACATGCAATGATACATAGAAAGCGCAAGAAGACACTTGATTGTAGGACCCAACAACACCTGGGTGTGAGGGTCACCATGCAGCAGCATAGACCTCCGTGTCGCAGCTCTCATTCTTTCCACCTACACGTCCAAGCTGCTTTGTCATCGAGTATTCACAGTACATTACAAACACACACGCACGCACGCACACACGCACGCGCACGCACGCACGCGCGCACGCACGCACGCACGTACACACGGACAGACACGCACGCACACACGCAAATCTACATGTACACACACTAGGTGCACAGTGCAGTCATGCCAACTGTTATTGTGTACACTTACCCAGTGGCTTTTGGCAAATGTAGTTGAGTGAATTGATGCAGCGGTCGAGTTTCCAGGTGCTGCTGTTTCTACTGGCGCCGCTAATCACGAGAGCACTGCAATTGTCCTGAAAGTTGTCCAGTGCAGTGCATCCCCACTGCTCATAATCCACACATGTACCATCCTTCCAGTAGAAAGCGCTGAAGTGATTGCCAGCCAACTATGGAGTGATGGCGAATGAGAGAAAAGATTGAAGAAGGACAGGAATGCAGCTAGGCGCTGTTTGTTATATTTACCATTTGTCAGAGTCTTTAAAGCCATGACCTTATGTTCAAAACACCGCTGCTTTCCTGGTTATTTTGGAGCATGTTGGATTGTGCAAATCCATGGGCCTGGACCCAGATTCGCCAAATTTGTACATGTTCGATTGTAGTGTTGAAACGAGCGTATCTATAACAAACGAGCGATCAGTTCCACTAACGAGCAAGCTATCGAGCGAGCTAACGAGTTTCATTAATGTGGCAAATATGAATATTTTTTGGAATATATTTTTTCTGAGTTCGAATTTTTTCAGCTGGTTCAAATTACATGAATTATCACCGCCGGCATTTGGGGTTGCTGCTGCTTCACTTCGGACTGCTGTTTGGTGTCGAGATGTCTTTTCAGCGCCATCGTCGATTAGCCTTTGTAAGAATAGACCGTTTTGCAAAGATTGCAAGTAGCCCTGGTCTTCGCTGCATCGCGGGAGAAAACTTCCAAACGACTGAGCGTAACTTTCACTCGAATGGAGAGGTGACCGAAGCATATCCTGCGACAGGTCAGCAGATGCGGAACAAGACATCAGTAGAGTTCACCAAAGCTGCAAAGACAACTGAAACAACTCAAGTGTCGTGCAGGCATACAGTCACCTGTAACTGCGAGTGATTTTCACTTTGAGCGGGACTGGACTCTCGATCGACCAGGGAGTCGTAAAATATTTTACGACTCCCCGGTCGACATGTACTGCCATGTGTACGGAGTACCGTGTACGGTGTTCGTTAGTGCAAACGAGCTGGCCACACAAACGAGCCGAGTTTCTGGCGAGCGAGCTAACGAGTATCCGGTGAGATCGTTTCAACACTATTCGATTGTACGAATCCGGATCCCGGTCCCACGGATTCGGATCCAGTCAAACCACCTCACAGAGCCAGATTCGACGGATTCTTTTGCATAGTATCTGCTAAATATTGCGTACACTAGGTCAAGAGTTCACCACAATGCCTACAGATACCATCAAGAGTACATGAAAACCAGAGTGTGCAGCTTGGGGCCTTTTCTGCTATGGATGTCTGTCACGGCGAAATTCCGTGATTACATCATATTTGCTGTAAATCTGAGGCGGGAAATGGCGTAGTGCGTACAACTGAGCTGCAGTTGTGCAGGAAGAGACCTGCTTGAATCCTGCTAGTACGCACTACATCACTAAAGTGATGTAATCACGGAATTCCGCCGTGACAGCAACCCATCCTAGCTGCACACTCTGGTTTTCATGTACTCTTGATACCATGGAATAGTACGGGATAAGCCGTAGCAACGTGGTTACTACGGTCTTGAAACGGATTATAAATTTTGTGCATTCGATTGTATCTGTCCGATTGGAGTGATCTGGTTGGCGTGGATCGGGATTCAGTTCCCGCAATCGAACACAGCCCAAGATGTAAAATTACTCACCCACTATGCGATGCCATGAGAGTAAAATTCCACACAGAAATCTCAATCTATCTCAGCTTAGTCATCCTTCCTGCTGGGCTGTAAGTTTGTTAATCTTGTACTTATTCCTTCATTTTAACAAAGCCCATGGCTATATAACTGAGACTGACTTTTATAATCGAATACACCTCCATGGCTTTAAAGGTGCGGACATACAGTAAGATCCTCCCCACCCTACCCCGCCCTTTACGAAAACATATAATTATTGACTTGAAGGCTAGAAGAGATTTATGTTTCAGCTAACAATAGTTTACGAAGTGAAGCTTGCATCAACCCACCCATAAACAAAACGTTTTCGTGTAAAAGACCGATAGTTATGGATGGCCGCTTAGTAGACGAAAGAGAATGCACCACTCCCCCTCTCATTTACTGACCTTGCTCAAAGAGAGCCATACTGCACCATCGAAGCTGCCCTTCTCCTGTGTGATGTAGTGCATAACGAACTGGTTTATGTGGTCGCTGTGCACGCTAAACAGCTTTGCACTGATTTTGGTACACTGCTTGTCGGCTTCGCTGTACGTGGACTTATCGGCCGTCTCCATGTTGAACTGATAGCACATACCGTCGTAATTAACCCATCCAGCATTGCAGCCATCTGGTTCAGTGGAAAGGAATGTCTCAGCTGTGAACACAAACACCAGGAAACGTCATGTCTTGTCAAGCATTGTATGACAGAAACTCAGGGTATTATAAAAAGTAGTTTGTCTCCAAAGCATCTTCTCTTTTTCGAGTTTCGTTTTAATTTACCATCCAATGTAAGGAAATTGATAGCGATCAAAGCCCAAGAAAACTGCACAGATAGGAAGGGTCTCGCTTGATTTGTACTACTGCATTCTCGGGAGTATACTCCACACTTTGGACACTCACAAAACAACCAAAACGAGCGGTGGCGGCTTATACTCTGGTGATGAGATTAATTAGCGGTGATAAATAGGCTATATGTCTGTACTGGAGGTGCGATTTATACTCCAGTGCGGCTTATACCCCAGTGATACTTATAGTGGAAGTTCACCCCTTTAATGGCGACATATGGCGCCCTACCGGTATCCCAACTGGAAAAAAATCTAGTACGAAATTCATTGTTGCAAAGAAACAAGAAAGGAATAGTTTTTTCCCTATCTACTCCCATGCAAAGTCTATCTCTCTGACGTCATAAATCCGGCCTGGTCTGGGCTTGTTAATGACGTCATCATGATGTCACCAAATTCAGTGCAGATTTCAAGCAGGTATAACTCCAGAATGGCTGTTCTGATCAACCTGGGACCTTCACCATTGGAATCATGTTTCGCTAGAAGTTTTGAAGTTTTCATTTTAGGGTTAACTTCCCCTTATTATACTTTATACTGCGGAAAATCCGGTACACTGGTACTCACATCTGCCGACATGTGCTTTACAGATGAATCCATTTCGAGCAGTGTTGCAACTGGAATCATCCCACTTGCCGCCTTCGGACCTGGGAGAGTGCTCAAAGGTGACACATCCCTGTCGGGCACTGGGCTGGCTGCCGCACCTCCAGTTCTGGTAGATGGCACGGGTTCCGTCTTTCCATGTGTAAATGCCGTCGGAATCACCGTCATTCAACCCTATCCAATAGCGCTGTGTGGTAGTAGCGTACTTTGCAGCTAAATTACTCAGGAACGACTCCAGTAAAGCCTGCTCGGAATAGTCACGTATAGTGACCAAGTTGGATTTTAGCCCAACACATCGACTTTGAGCTGTGGCATGGTCCACTGAGGCGCTAAGTGCGAAGTAATAGCAACTGTTGTGATCCTTGCGGAAGCCTGGTGGGCATGGTTGTGCTGAAAAGCGACATAGTAAGAATGACATTGTAGTAGACTGACTTGCGTGCGTGCCATACTAGTCCAAGTAACTAACTACTTCTGCAATTGTGAGCCTGGAGAGAAATCCAGTTTGTCGTGTCACTTGGTCTCGTATTACAGAGATATCATTGTCGAGCTTGAGTTTTTAAATCCAAAAGCTATTCACTTTACTCTGTGTGTGCGTGTTGGCGTGCGTGTGAGCCTGTACGTGTGTGTATATACGTGTGTGAATGTGTGTGTGTGTGCGTGTGTGTGTGTGTGTGTGTGTGTGTGTGTGTGTGTGTGTGTGTGTGTGTGTGTGTGTGTGTGTGTGTGTGTGAATAAAGTTTAAAATCGAGCTTGAGTTTTTAAATCCAAAAGCTGTTCACTTTACTCTGTGTGTGCGTGTTGGCGGGCGTGTGAGCGTGCACGTGTGTGTATATACGTGTGTGTGTGTGTGTGTGTGTGTGTGTGTGTGTGTGTGTGTGTGTGTGTGTGTGTGTGTGTGCGTGCGTGTGCATGTGCGTGTGTGTGCTGTGAATGTAGAATACACATGTCTAGCAGCAATGGCATGCACATGTAGACTGCAAACGCCTCTTTGCATTCTCAAGCACCGAGTGTGCCTGTGGTCATTTCATTTTAAAAGCAATCTTGAGTACAATATCAGCAATGCAGCAGAACAGTTTCTGATGAACACACTATACCGCTTATGTCAAACATGTGTAATTACAGCAATGCCGTATTCCACATGTACAAATTACAAGTCGAGCAGCAAAGTCATGTCCATATGCCCACTGGGCAACTTACTGTGGTTCACCTCACAGATGTAGTTATATGATGATGAACAGCTGTCATATTTCCACATGGAGGAGAAGAACGAGCTGGCGTCCAGCGATGTCTGAGCACAGTTCTTAGTGCTAGTTCCCTCCCCACTACCACTACCCGAGTTCTCAGCTGCATTTTCCTCTCCACAAGCCCAGTTTGCATACGCCAGCTTGTTGCCGCTTACCCACGCGGGCGAATCGGTTGGTGTCTTCCGGTAGAGGCCGAGCCAGATGGGAGTGCGGTGTGCAGGGTGCTGACTCAGCATATACTTCATCAACATGGTGTTCTGTGCCTTGGTACTCAAACTAGCCAGACGGCCACCCTGAGCGGCGCAGTCACGAACAGCGCCAGCGTGGTTGGTCCTGTCGGTGGAGGCAAGCTTGAAGAGGTAGCATCTGCCCCCCATCCTAGTCCAGCCATGTCCACACACACCTTGTACGAATTTAGGATAGTCTTTACACGAAGAACAGATAGACACACAGACCAAACAGTTGCTAATGGGGTATTCACACGACAGGCAAATCCACGTGCACCGGAAAGTTGCTATGGTATTTTACCTGTGAACGAGAAAAGTGCCTGAAAGTGGCTGAAAAGTGAAAGCGAGCTGGGGGCCCACTTTCATGATAAACGTGGCGTGCACGAGTACATTTACACCAAAAAGCGCGAAACAAGACTTGATTTTTTACGCGGCTCTTTAGAGCATGATAATTATTGTATGTGTGTTTTGAAAATTTGAAATACCCATGGCTACTGGTCGGTGAGGCATTCAAAAATGCAAACGTGCCTGTCGTCGACTGCAGCTGTGTGAATCCACACAGTCACTTTTCTCGTATGTCACTCCTTGTAAAACTTGCAAGTGCCTGTCGTGTGAATGCCCCATTAGCGCCGACTTTGTTTAAAAGGGAAGCATGGTTTAAAATCAAGTTTCACCATTTAGTCTCCGGGGACAGATATGATAAAATAAGAGACAAATGCTCTAAGTCCAAGGAAGTTGCTTCAATGTTCATTACTCGCAAACTTCCCCGAAAGTGGGAGAATGTGCTCTACCACATAGTAGATGTTGATTGTTTAGGGAAATTCACTAGAAGCGCCACTTCGCTCCCATAGGAGCTGCTGAATCGTATGGTGTAGATCTGACAAGCCTGTGCATCATACCGTGTTCTTGTGCCTTACTCAGAAATCAAACAGGATCGACCACGGCTGGGCACCAGTGCCTACACCAATCATCTGCTCACCATGCAGTGCACCCGTGCAGTGCAGCTTGCAGACGACCGTCACCTGCAACCTCGAGTGTGAGTACATCCCTAGTGTAATGCCACTGCAAGCCGAATGACTTGTGACCGTGGTTGTCCATGCACTGCGTGCAATGCATACAAGTGTTGTCTTTGTCTGTGAGTATAAGTGTGACGTTGTCTTTGCTTCCACGTTCACGACGCCACTAGCTCCTCAACACCACGTATTTTACTTTTTCTATCTAACACCCAAGGCGATTGTCAACATAAAATTTGTTGAAACAGTCTAACTTGAAACGGCACTTTTTGATGCCGGTATTTTAAACTGCAGCATGGCCGCACCAACTATATTGCAGCAGAAATGAGAAAATATGCTCAGAGGCATCGGCAACAAGAGTCGAGGTCATATTTTCAAAATGCCAAAATTCTGGGAAGAAGAAACAAGTGGTTCTCGTTTTTTCGGTCATGGCAACCAAAGCAAAAAGACATCTTGCGTTATTCCTTTGAACGTGACTTGACTGCGAGAGTAAGTTGCATTTCCAAAGGCACGTAAGTCTAATAATTGAAGACTGAGACCTCTACACCACGGTTTCACACGTGAAAGCAGGTGCACGATTTAACAAACAGGTTATCAGTCTAGATTTTAGGCGCAGATGGAGAAAATGAGCAGAAAATGCGCCAAGTGAAGACAAACTGTAACAAACCGAACGTCAATATCCTACTACTAAGATAGGCTTCCCCTCTTTATGTACTCGACATACCTTTGAGCATGCAAAGTTGGGTGATTTGTTGCCATGCGTCGTCGAGTTGTAGTTAGACCGGTTTGGTCTTACTAGTCTACTCTGGTCATCATTATCCTGTAACGTTTGACATTCTTTGTTGCCGAGGGACATAGCGCGTGCAAATTTCGTGCCGCATCCTTCCCCTTCATTAGAACTTTCTGCACCTGAGCCTCCCAAGTTGGAAATTTCTTGGTTGGCACTTTGTAGATGTGTTGGAGCTAGGTGTAAGGTCGTTGAGTGTCTTAATACTCTTGTCAGTTTTGTACCGTGCCGACATTTAGAGAGGTTTTGTGCCTTGTTCACAGTATAATATTCTCGTTACTTTGCTGGCCTGTTAGTCATACATTTTTGCCCAATTTCTCTACTAAAATACTCTTGGCCCAACGTCCGAGTTTCAGAAAGAGACAGAAACAAAGACAGAGAGACAGAGAGGCAGAGCGGCAGAGCGGCAGAGCGGCAGGGCGGCAGAGAGACACAGAGACACGGAGACTCGGAGACACGGAGGCGCGGAGGCGCGGAGAAGCAGAGATGCGGAGACACGGAGACGCAGAGACGCAGAGACCCACAGACACAGAGACACAGAGACACAGAGACACAGAGACACAGAGACACAGAGACACAGGGACACAGGGAGACACAGAGACACAGGGAGACACAGAGACACAGGGATATATATATATACACACAACAACAAGGTTGTCAGTTTCATAAAACTAAAAGCTTTTCACCTATTTTCATCAGTAGGTACATGGGAATGAGCAGGAACGAAAACGAAGGCAGAATTTATACTGGGGGTAGAGAATCAGCAAGAATATTCTTACGCGCCTCAAGTTCACACTACACTACCATAAGAATGTATGGAGCAGTGGAAAAATGCGGGAAACAACACATGAAGGGAATGCCGTACCAGAACAAACACGTGATAAAGTTGTCAGTCTGGTTGCAGCTTGAACAGCCGCAGCACCTTGATGTGCTTCTTTTGTCTTTTGTTGTGAACTTGAGGCGCGTAAGAATATTCTTGCTGATTCTCTACCCCCAGTATAAATTCTGGCTTCGTTTTCGTTCTTGCTCATTCCCATGTAACCACTGGTGAAAATGGGTGAAAAGCTTTTTGGTATTATGAAACTGACAACCTTGTTGTTGTGTGTATATAAATTTTGTTCGCCTACCTCTCTATTTATATATATATATGGGACGACTACACCATAGCTCAGTGGTTAGAGCATCGCTGGCTACAAACGAGGGTCCCTGGTTCGAGTCCTGGTGGTGACAGTCAATCAATTTTTTTCTTCAGACTTTTCCCGTTTGTCTCTTTCCCTCAAACCAGTTGAAATTTTATGACTTGGGGCTCCCCGCGTGCTAGTTTGTACGTGAAGTGTGTGGGTTACAGTGAGGGCTGCGTCCCACCCGCCTGTGTGGATTCACAGGAAGTGTGAGTTACGAAGTCTGAAGAAAATGTTGAACGGCCTCTGCTGGGATGACGACTACACCATAGCTCAGTGGTTAGAGCATCGCTGGCTACAAACGAGGGTCCCTGGTTCGAGTCCTGGTGGTGACAGTCAATTTTTTCTTCAGACTTTTCCCGTTTGTCTCTTTCCCTCAAACCAGTTGAGATATATATACCGTATTTTACCGGTTGTAAGTCGACCCCGGTTATAAGTCGACCCCCCTATCTGGAGGTCTCAATTCTGCGTTTTAAAGTTTTCACCCAAAGAAGCACTACTAACCACCTCCTGCTACTAACACATCAACAAATCATGTAAACATTCCTTATTGGAGGATATAACGTCCCAATCCTTGAAAAGGCCAATAAACTGGCAAAATGTGTAAACATGATGCACTCGTGCATGCAGTGCAGGTCATTTTTTTGTAAGATACTGATAGTTCCCGGTTATAAGTCGAATCCCGGTTGTAAGTCGACCCCCACCCTTTCTCCTTCTATTTTAAGTCGTAAAAGGTCGACTTACAACCGGAAAAATACGGTATATATATATATTTTAACTGGTTAGAGGGAAAGAGACAAACGGGAAAAGTCTGAAGAAAAAATTGACTGTCACCACCAGGACTCGAACCAGGGACCCTCGCTTGTAGCCAGCGATGCTCTAACCACTGAGCTATGGTGTAGTCGTCATCCCAGCAGAGACTGTTCAACATTTTCTTCATATATATATATATATATATATAGAACAGGGGGAAGTGGTCAGGGGGAAGTGGTCCCGTCCACCGTTACAGTAATGGACAATTGATATCAATATTTTACACTGCCTGCACCTAGCGGTAACTCTTCACTCTTCACACTTCACGCTTTCTTTTTGTGCGCCTTGCTGTGTGGTTGTGTATTTCTTTAGTGGACCTGACAGCCCTGTTTTAGTTAGAAAAGTTGCCTGACGATTGAAAAACTCAAGAAACTCGGAGTAGCAACGGATTGTGTTTTCTTGGTGAGGACCGCTTCCATTGTATATATATGTCGCATCCCCGGCTCACAGTGACCGGACCCCGAAATCACTACGAGCGGCGACTGAATATAGACGTGTGGCCTCACGACAAGCCCAACACAACCCAGGGGCCAACCAATATAGCTGGCTTGGTCCAAGTTCAACCCCACACGATCAACAGACAGAGACTGTTAGTTTTACGTTGTGAGTAGTATCAAATCCGAGCTCAAAGTAAACGAAGACAGAGAGCTGAGACCGAGTCTTGACTGCTAGACTAGACTAGACTAGACTAGACTAGAACTGAAGTAAAAGAGAGAATGAGAGCTTCTTTTATAGGGTGCTTCAGAGATATATGGCGTGATCATTGCGAGGTATTTCCAGGAAATAGCAGAACAAGTCAAACCGGAATGTGCGCAGCCAGTCAGCAGAAATGCAGAATATACGTACGGTGATCATTCGAGAAGAAAGAGAAAGAAAGACATCGAGAGAAGAAAGACCAAATTGGGACGTGGGGAGCCCGCTCACCCACGTCAGAGTACAATGTGAGTATATGAGGGTCACGTTGGGGAGCCCGCTCACCCAACGTGCCATAGTTCAGCGGCTTCTTATGGTAAGTTCTGCTGCATTCTTGGTCTTGCTTGCGTGATACTCTGACCTCTCGTGCGGTCACTGCGGTGACGGTTTTGGTTCTTGCACACGTCTCCTGTCTTGCACTTAGCTCTTGTTATACAATGTCATATTAGTCTTGGCTCTTTGCACGAAGCGCCGAGGCATCGTGGAAACCTGTAGAACGTCGTAGTGACGTGGTTTTGCACAAAGCCTGGGGTCACATTTCCAGGAAGTGAAGAACTTCCAGGAAACGTACAACGCGAGAACCTACCTGACCAGGTTCCGGCCTTGGATCACATGACATGTCATGCCAAGAAGGCATGTCACCTATGTGGGAAAGCGCGTGTCGCTCAACCTACATGCTAAGCACGTGGGACAAGACACTGGCCAAACCACATTGTCCCAAAAGGGCGTGACAGCTCAGCACAGAGCTGCTCACTAGGTAGATCCTGCTGTCACAGGACTATCAGGCAGCAGTAGTCACGTTCAGGGACGTGACATATATAGAACAATAGAAGTATTTCTTGCGTCGGCAAAAAGTGCTCAATGTCCTAAGACAGAGCGGAGTTATACACTCAGACACAAAGGATCTCCAAGTTTCTCACTGTTGCTACTCTGAGTTTCGTGCAAAAGCACTCTTCAGGCAACTTACTCTTCTCTCACATCAGTATCCCTTTACATACCAGAAAAGACGAAAAGAAGCACCCTAGGTGGGAATCACAGGTGGGGAAAAGAAGCACGCTAGCCAGTTTAGGTGGGAATCACAGGTGAAGATAAATGTGGCAAGTGTGGTAGTGTGAGCAATCGCGCAGGCCGGGTGGTGTGCATAAAGTGAAGTGTGGCAGTAGGATGCATGCACATTAGATAGCAGGAGTTCTGTATATGTGTGACAGATAGCAAGCGCAGTCTACAGTTCAGGTCACCTCCGATAGGAGGTACTTGGTGCTGTGGCGACATTTTGTGACCAGGCTGCATCTGGTGTTGAGGAGCGATGCCTTGTCACTCTTCATTATGGCGATCTTCTCCGATAGGCATAGGTTGCACCGCTTCGAGGTTCTTTTGTAGGCGCTGGATCTCTGCCTGATTCTCCACGAGATGTTGACGCCTTCACCTGCCTCTTTCAATGCCCATGCATGCTTCGACAATTCTGTGCTGTTTCTGTGTGGGGCATTCCGGAACGATGACGTGTGGTTGTTGAACCGGAGTTTGAACGGGGTTTCGGAGATGCCGATATACTTCTTCCGGCTGAGATTGGAGTCCACTGTAGCTTCGTATACTATCTCGCTGGCGTTGCAGTCCCCGTTGAGTGGGCAGTTTGCTTTGACACGGCAGTTACATCTCTTTTCTTCCGGCCGTCTGAGGACTTTCGCGTTGTGGCCCTTGATTATTGAGGCTAAGTTAGGCGAACAGCTGTAGCTGACTTTGAGCGTGTTTTTGTTAAATATTTTTCTTAGAGCAGATCCTTCTGGGAAATGGCGCTTGACAAGTCTCAGGAATGTCGCGCCAACATCAGTCTTCACGGATTGGCTGTACGGTGGGTTAAACCAAATGATGGTCCTCTTTCGATTCTTTTTCCTCCTGGCTTTCCCAGAAGGATCTGCTCTAAGAAAAATATTTAACAAAAACACGCTCAAAGTCAGCTACAGCTGTTCGCCTAACTTAGCCTCAATAATCAAGGGCCACAACGCGAAAGTCCTCAGACGGCCGGAAGAATAGAGATGTAACTGTATATGTGTTGGAACACCTCTGATCAGTTGGATCATATTGCTGTTCTGCGATAGGTCCTGGTTACGAATCCTGAGTGGTTATGCAATATATCTTTTACTAGCAGATGTGCGTCTCGTATTCTGCTGCGCTCCCCTTTTGTGGCAACTACATAGATTTTCCCTGTGGTTGATAGATAGACTTGGGGCGCGTTCGAATTGTCACTCTTTGACTTTTCGAGGAGCTTCGTTTTTCTGAAGAGGTGGCCTTATATCATTGGCCTCTTCAGAAAAACGAAGCTCCTCGAAACTCCTCGAAACTCATCCGATGGGAAGGTGGATTAGTTTCGAAGAGTTTGGAATAGCTATGTCACATAGTACGTGGAGATGGTCGATCTGATCGGACGTCATCATCGCCGTGGCAATTCCATTGAAAAACTCTAAAAATGATAGAAACCATTCTAATGGGACACTTCAACTAATCTCTTTATAGAATTTGTTAGAGCAGTTGATGAAGACAATTCGAACGCGCCCTTGGTCTTGGCAAATATTGCCAAAAAATATGCTATTGGTCCTGGAGCACCATGAACAAGGCCCAGTAGCTCACAATGGGCTAGTATCATGGAACTTCGCTTTAGCCTTACTTTGTTTGTTTTTGATGACCGCTGCTTGGATGGTGATGCTAGTGCGCTTTTTGCATGGGCGTTTCACTCTCCGCTCAGCCACCAGCCACACTGACCGGCAGACACGCGGTCAGGTTAGCCATATGCTCGCACTTCCCGCCGCGCGCTCTAGGCATGGCCTTTTCACCATATCCTTTGTCGCTGCTAATAGCTGGAATGCTTCACCTGCGGCCAGCCGTACCGCTACCTCTCGCTCAGGGTTTGTTCAATTGTGTCAATCATTCATAGAGTTCCCTGTAATAAGACGACACCTCCTGCAGGGTTCCTTAAAATAATAAATTCTACTACTGCTGCTACTACTGCTGCTGCTGCTGCTGCTGCTGCTGCTGCTGCTGCTGCTGCTGCTGCTGCTGCTGCTGCTGCTGCTGCTGCTGCTGCTGCTGCTGCTGCTGCTACTACTACTACTACTACTGCTGCAATCGGCCTCCTATGCAACCAACGTAAACACAATGCTGTGTCAAGCATTTTTTGGAACACATGCTGTCACTTCTAGAAATTTGAGCGATTGAGATAAGTAAAGACCAGAAACTAAAAGCATGCATGCAGAACCCCCCAGAACTTACGGTCAGTTGCCTTTTTGGACGTGGCGCCAATGTGACGTTGACAAATGAAACCGTCCTTCTTGACCGAAGCATCGCAGCGGTCCGCACCCCACTTGCCCAGCGAGCTGCCACCGGCGAGCATGTACCCGCAGCTCCTTGCCCCTGCTGCAGATGAGGCGGTGCGCTCCCAGGCACATGCCCAGTTACGGAACACTGTTGGTGTGCCTGAGAGCACACAAACAAGAAGCATTCATCGGCAAAGTTTGCTTGTCCTCAAGACTCAGTGTGCCAGCATCAGGGATGCCACTTTTCTCTACCAGTGATCTAGCCAAAGCCGGCTCAGCCGGCAGAATGCCGGCTGGGAGGGCCACCTGCCGGCTGAGACAGCTCCAAGGGTAATTTTGGCCGGCTGCATGCAGTCACCCCCATGTAGACTGTAGTGCACTGCTCTAGCACTTGAGTCGAGATGGTGGAGTACAACCCATATCCTAGGCGTAGGTATGTACAGTACAGTACTAGCACTGGCTACTCGGCTCAGTGCTAGCTCTTCACTCAAGATCAAGCTCAGATGCACTTGAGTATGCACTTGAGTACGTCAGTAAAATGTAACAGGTTGGGTCATGGTTCGCTGCTTCTGGTGGTGTACAGGCTGTGGCTAGGCTGGGTCTTGTCAGATGACCAATGTACACTGCATGCAGACATGACGTTGGTGAACATATGATCCATGCTCATGTAGCTGTTTGCTTCCTTTTTCATATTTTGTTAATTTACCTATAATCACATTTTCACAACTGCCTGATGAATGCCCATAATTGGACGAAGCGAAAGGAGATGCAAGCTGCAATGAAAGATTTGTAGTGGTGTGTGTGTGTGTCTGTGTGGATACATGACTGATGGCGATGCATTTTAACTAGAACGTTGGCCGGCTGGCATAAAATCCTGGCTAGACCTCTGTCTACGTAGGTGTGCCCTGGCTAGAGGCCAAGGAGTAAGGAAGCAGCACTGTTTTTTATAAAGCCGAAGACTTTAGAGGGTTCTAAGAGCCAGAAACAAAAGATGGGGCACTTCTGTGAACAATTCTGGTCAGAAAAAAACTGTTTTCTTTTTTTCAGAACGACCTGTAAAAATCAGATTGTTTCTAAACAATCGGACCAAGTGGCAGCCGTGCAGCATGAGCACAACATCTTTGTTCAGCTAAACCAATCAAGATAAGAACAAATTGAAAATGTTGCAGCCCTTCTGGCTGTTGTGGGCACTTCACAAACTCTGGTATTATACTTTGGAAGTAATATTTTACAAACTCTGATATAATACTCTGCAAGTCACATTGCACAGACTGTCATATCATACAAGTTACTATGGAAGTCACATTTCGCAGAATTTGATATCATGCTGTGGAAGTGACATAATTTTTTCCCAGACTGCGATATCATGCTATGCCCCATTTTGCATCAGTCCATGCAAACAATTGCCAGTCGATGAGATAAACCCATCACATCCACAGTTGATCCTTACCATCGTGCCAAGTGCTTTCGTCTTCCCTCCAGCCGATCCAAAACTCGGTTCCAGTTTTACGGTGACGCGCCCTGACCTGAGTGACCAGGAAGTCGTTTACATCACTGTCAGCCACAGACACCAGCTCAGCAAAGTTTTTCAGGCACCGGTTGCTGGCATTGTCGCTGCTGATTTCTGCTGTGTCACCACTGGATATGAAGTAGCAAGTGCCGCGAAAATATGCCCAGCCCGTCTCGCACTTCTGGTCTGTGTGTCAAACCACACGAATTACACAAGAATGGCAACAATAAAATTCAAACAATATATTATCTACTAACTGCTGACTACCTCAATCTGACGATCAAAGTATCTGCTTGCGCAGCTTGAAAGCAGGAATGTGAATTTGCTTAGACTTCGCGAATCCACATGGAAAACGGCTGGAATCGACAGAAACATAGGCGAAACCTTGCCGAATATTTCCAGAGATTTGAAAATGACAGCAAGGTCGCGTACGACAGCATCATCATGGATCACTGGGGCGACGGGAAAATGTCGTATCGTACATAATGTAGCTGGATCATGCATGCATATCAGCCGTGAATGGGAGGTATGCAATCGAAGATGGCCGTCACCTTTTTTTGCAAAGTTGCCCCATTTTTGGAAGGTACAACCCATTCTAGTATATTGATGAGTTTGAGTATGACCTTACAAAGTTCATGATCTTTTATGCAGAGCTGGTATCACAGTGTGTACGGTTGTAGTGGACTTGCCCCGCAAAACCTAACGGCGGGAAATGGATGCACACTTTTTTTGGTGCGTTTTATGTCCCCATGACGTCGAGACCTCAGGTCGGCTGAGGGCAAAAGCCTCACCATCACTATGCTCCCACTATGCAATTCTTTGTCTTTGCCTGTGAGCTGTGATCATTGTGAAAAAATAAATAAAAAAAACATGTCCCGTACAGCCTCAGTCTCAACCTTTCTATTGCACATTATGCACAAAGGGTACAAAAAGGAGGTTTGCGGAGTTCGACGAAACTCCGAGTTTCTTGCACAATGCAATGATCATTATCACACACTAAATAGATCCCAAACATACGAACCACAATGTGTTGTATCAGTTGGTGTTGGCAGTGGTAGGTACAGCAGCCAGACATAATCATCTTACCATCGCATTGCAAAGTTGGTGGTGATGTGCCTGCAGAACATCATTGCATTACACACAGAAGGCAAACAGCGGTGGTATTAGACTTGAATGGTGGAGAGGACCAGGGCATCCTAAGACTAACTTCCCCGGCATTCCAGTACATAATAAGAATTCGCACTGCTGATAGAAACACGGAGATGCAAGTACCTATGCCTTGCGCATTGCCACATTGGCAGTAAATGGAAAAGCATAGCCAGCAATTGCATGTGATCAGATACATTGAAAATCAACATAATTTTGCGAATCAACCTTTTTTTCAGCATCACTTTTCAATGCGGACGGAGCAAAGTCGGCCGAACGAAGCCAATATGGGTTGGGGGAGGGGGGGGGGCATATACTCCAGTGTGGGTGACACTCTGGAACATTTTGTACATACTTGGGACAGGCATTTGGCACACAAACGGTCGTTCCTGGTGGCAGGTCTCAGCGGCCATCATGCCAGAATTGGAGTTGCCGCTGCCCATACTGAGAACGCCGCAGTCTCGCCCATGTCCCGCGGTATTCGGCTCTCCACATCCCCATCGTGTGTACTTATTGCACGCATCGTTCAGCCAAGCGAACGCGCCAAACCTTCCTTGCCTCCGGAGACCAATGTACATGCTCTCGTTTACTGCTGGGGAAAACTGCAAAAGGAAAGCAGCAGAAACCAATGGGACAGGCAGTGTGTGTTGGGAAATGAGTGCATCTAATGCACACAATAGCTATCACTAGCAATGCCCTGGATAAGGTCAAGTGCAATGCAAACAGACGCTCTACCCTTAAACAATGAAAAAATCGAGGCAATGATAAACCGCAATGGCTACAATACTGGATTGTCTCAAATCGCAGCCAACCCACAGGATACGGGCATGAAAAAATCGCAGGAAAAGCCTACTATTTCCGGCTACATGCCTAGAAAGAGCCCTTGTTCTCGATATAAGCAATGTTTTAAAGCACGTTCAAACTCGCTGACCTGATGCAACACATGAAGAAAGAAGTCCAGGACGCCATCGCCTCGGTCTACAGCAAGTTGTGCAGTTGAACTGGTCTTCTTGCATGTCGCCTGGGCGGCTGAAAAGTTCCTCTGGAATTTGAACTCAAACCAATAGCACTGGGTGAGGAACTGATACCAGCCAGTAGGGCATGCTCCCTGCGAAATCACCTGGAGTTGTGCTGAGGACAGAATACACAGACAACCCAGCATGATACTCAAATACAGGTTAGAGTGTGCATTACCGAGGTGAATAAAAGCAATGGGAGAGAAGGAATCACAACTGTCGGCCAGCACACGAACAAACTCAAGTTCCTCACGAGAAAATATTTTTTTTAATAACCACACGTACTCTCAACGTTATGTTTTTAATGGCTGCTTTTCATGGTGTTGTTCTTTCGCCCCTCTCCTGCACTATAATCATTTGTTTCATTCAATTTCTTAACACCTTTATTCTACCTGGTGAGGGTATTTGGCTTTAGTTCCGGGCACCCCTTCTTCTGCGCTTGAGGACTTTCCTTTGGCTCTCCCGGAGATGGAAGTCAACGCAGCAATGTCAAAATTTAATGTTGAAATTGTTGCTTGCAAGGAGTCGGAAGTTTTTCTTTTCCTGAATGTGCGTGAAGTTCTGTCTGTCGTTTCGTCGGATCCAGATCCAGATCCAGATCCCAGGTCCACTGGATCCCTCAGAACTGCCAAGGTGACTACCAAGGTCTTGCACTGCAACTGCTATGAACCCGTTGCATGCTGGCCTGTTTCCCAATCAACTGGCACTGCAGCGCACGGACTCACTTGGTGGAGTTCGGGCGCACTGCTTCGAACGGAATTTATCCTCATTTCAGTTCACCCGGATGGAATTTCATCATCCTGGGCTTGTTGGAAAGATCAGGACCAAGCAAATCCATCCTGGAAGCTCTTAGCTCCATAAACCCACCAGGGCCACTTCCATTACCTCTCAAAACCGGCCCACTATGCCTCGGAATGAAACAACAACTCAATCGCACATTCTTTTCGGCTCCTTGCTGAAACGCAACCGTTTTTCGACTCAAACTGCTCTGCAAAGCTGAGATCCATGCGCTTCGTTTGATCTCCATAGCGCATGCGCTGGGTAAACGGGAAATCACTAACATGCTCCAAAAAGAACCGAATTTTATATCTCTGGAAAGCTGAGCTCAAGACCTGTCCAACGGTGTGCGGCTATTAGATGCTCTGTACACTGGTGTATTCATGCCAACAGTAAGCATACTAAAGAGCGTGTATACACACGTCATCAGGAAACCGGCATGTGAGTGCAGCTTGTATCACTTTGGCAACGTAACATCATGGCTTTTCTCATATCGGTATGCATGCACGTGATCTACACATTCTTTGGTTTGGAGCGCAAGAGTGACACGCAGCAGCTTTGCATGCGTTAGTGTTGTCGTGTTGGTTGGTTGTTGATATTGTTATTGCGTTCGGAAGGAGATTGTTGTTTCGACATCAGTGAGATCCACATGTGGAAAGAGTCAGTCCAGCATGTGTGCGTGTGTGTGTGGGGGGGGGGGGGGCGTCCATGCATGAGTGCATGCATGAGTGCATGCGTGAGTGTGTGCGTGTGTGTAGCGCGTGCGTTAGTATGTGAGTGCATGTGAGTGCATGAGTGTGTGTGCGTGCGTGAGTGCGTAAGTGTGTGCATGTGTGCTTGCATGCATGCGTGCGTGCGTGCGTGCGTGCGTGTGTGTGTGTGTGTGTCAAGCAACCTGTGGGAAGGCTGCCCTCTTGCCAAAGCATTTTGGAAGTTGGACTAGTTTCGGCTCCACAATCCAGTGTGTCGTTACTATAGCTTTCATGGCTGCGGTTGTTGGTACGTATGTTGGCCCTGGGTTCCCAGGACTGGTTGGTAGAGGAACTTCAATTTCACTTCAAGGTACCAGTGCATCTAGTGTCTGCTGTTATCAAAGCAGAGTGCTGTCTATACTGGTTACCCCAGCAAGTGTAGGGTGTGCATAGGTAACTGTCTTGGCCGTCCTATTCCGATGTACGCCGTGTGGTGTAGACCAGGTGTGCATTGGTGGTCGATTCACATGGCTTCGCCAGTTGTGTGGATTAGACAGTTATCTGGCGCAAGTCTTGATCTGTCTCATTCAGATCTTGTTCGCTATCGTTGCTATAAGAGAAAATCTGTGGGTGCACGTCCAGTGCATTTGCAGATTTGCGTGCTTCTCTTGCGACGGGCGTATACATGGTATGGTATGTGCGTGGTTTGATTATTTATTCTCACGATGGCACCATCGCCAATAAGATATACGTTTATAGTTGTTATTGTTACTGTCTTTACGCGGAACCATTTCGCGTATTTTCCTTTTCATTATCATGTACTTTGGTTTATCTTAGTTGCACTTGAATGCCATGATCATTGCTAAGTGATGTGAAGTGGAACCATGAGATCTGGACTGTTCATGTTCTTAGAACACACTTAGAACACACTTAGAGCGCACTTAGAGTACACTCAGAACACACTTAGAACACAGTTAGAGCACACTTAGAGCGCACTTAGAACACACTTAGAACACACTTAGAACACACTTAGAGCACACTTAGAGCGCACTTAGAACACACTTAGAACACACTTAGAGCGCACTTAGAGCACACTCAGAACACACTTAGAACACACTTAAAGCACACTTAGAACACACTTAGAACACACTTAGAACACACTTAGAACACACTTAGAGCGCACTTAGAGCACACTTAGAACACACTTAGAACACAGTTAGAGCACACTTAGAGCGCACTTAGAGCGCACTTAGAGCACACTTAGAACACACTTAGAGCGCACTCAGTACAGGCACTGTAAGCAAACACTACATGTAATCATATCCTGGAGCCAAACAAGACACGACAGGAGCAATGACTTGCTGCCGTCATCCGGTAGCCCACGGCTTAGCCCAGGCTCTCTGTTTGGATTTTTTCACCCAAGATCTAACTCAGCTACAGACTGTACACTTCAAGGAAGAGAGATAGAATGAAATTCAGTTGACCTTTTTTTATGTTCATTCACATTCTTCATCATTTGTGAGAACTAGACCTGGTCTAGTGAGAAGGCATTCTACTGCCTGTAATTCTAGTGAAGTAAAATAAAGAAACAACAACAACAACAACAACCTTTTACATAGCGTGAAGAGAATCCATCGGTGCCCCTTCAGGACGTAGCAATGTGTTCTGTGTCAGCCCATGCAAGAACTTACAGCGGCCTGGTTGTGGTGCCTTGCAGATGAACCCAAAGTCTGCGCTGCAGTTGGCGCCAATCCACATTCCGCTGCGCTTCCCCCGGTCGGCATACATTGCCACGCATTGCATCCCGTCACCATTGCTGCTGCCTGGTTGGCCACACAGGAAGTTGGTGTAGAATGCTCGATGGCCATCATTCCAAGCATAAACCTTGTCGGCATCTGAGGCGCTCAGACCAATCCATAGTTTTGTGCCAGGATTTTTGTTCATTTCCACTAGCGAGCTCGTCAGAAATTTCTGCTCAGCAGGATCAATTACTGTTAGCATCATGGCACCCATAGCAGCGCAAAGACTCTTTGCTTTGGTAAAATGAACCTTACGGTATTTCTCCACATAGTAGCAGATGCTACTATCCTTATTCCATAACCAGCCATCCTTGCATTTGCTCACTAAATAATGTGTACAAATGGACAACACGTTCAAAAAGACAAACTCACATACACAAGCACAAATTCACTAACCCCCTCCCCATAAACACACATATGCATAGTCATATCTACACACAAATTCATGCATGCATGTACACACACGAACGCACGCACCCACACACGCACACACGCACACACGCACACATGCACAAATGCACTCTCTCTCTCTCTCTCACACACACACACACACACACGCACACGCACACACTACTACTACTACTACTACTACTACTACTACTACTACTACTACTACTATAGCATGACTGCCCCATAGGGCCACGTCACTCCCTCGTGATAGGGAGCCAGAGTCAGGGTAAGAGAGTCAATGCTGGCGAGCCACATGCCGGTTGAGACACACACACACACACACACACACACACACACACACACACACACACACACATGCACGCACGCACACACACACACACATGTCATGACCCGGATCAGACTCGTCGTGAAAGCGACCACGCATTTGTTGTCCCTGCCCTTTTGGAGGGCATGTGCACCTTTTGGCATGTGTGTGCTGGCTACGCGTGGTCGGGGTGCGGACTGCGCAGGTTGCGCATGCCTGCATAATTAGTATTGTACGCATTCTTGTTGTTTGTGGCCTTCTTCTTGAAACTCTCCTTGGAGTAAGACTAAAATAATCTGTCCTCTGAGTGTGGGGTACGTGTGATGTATGACTAAGAGATTAATCGGAAGGGCTATCGTTGAGGTATAAAAAAACCCGACGACAATTGGCGCCCAGCTAGTGGCATCGCTCCCCACGACCCTGAGATCGTTTTCGTTTTTGCCGTGGCTTCAAATCTTGTCTTCTTCACGCGTCCTCGACATGGCTCCGCTTTGCTCCATCTGCTCAACCCTATCCTTGGAGTTCCTACCCAGGTGAGCCTGCTTTGTCTGCCCTGCGTAATGTTTTGTACCTTGTACGTAGTTCTCCTGGTACTAGTCTTCGATTTGGGATTTTCAAATAATTGTTTCGCTTCCTGGCATTGAAGTCCCGTGTTGTTCTCTTGTGTACCAGTACTCTCGTTCGAGCCTCGCTCCTGCTAGTACATGATTGTGGCCCACGTTGTGTGTGTCACTTGTCGAGTGCTTGTGTGTGCGGTGTTTTGAACCAGTGTACATTGTCGCCCTCCGGCCTCTGGCTGTTCGAGTGGTCGTGTGCACTGTGTTTTCATACCTTCTGTTGTCCGTGCTGTCGTGCATGCTTATCGTGTTGCTTGGCAGTCAGCATGGCCATGGGTAGCTTTGCTCGTGTTTGCTTACTCGCCCTGTGTTGCGCATTGGTGCACGTCGTTGCTTTGTCGTCGGATTGCTCCGCTCCTGTGTCAATCGATTGGTTTGGTAGATGTCCCCATCGATTTTCTCGATGTGGTGAGTCTGGTGACACTCGTACTCCGTCGTTTTCAGGTACATGTCCTTTCTTTTTCATTTTACTCGTATCCATGTTTTGTGTCGAGCGTTTTAGTGCTCCGCCTGGTTGTCCCGCTCATGTGGAATGGCTGTCGCCCAGTGGTGTAACATGCTTCTGAGATTCTCGTTGACAGTCCGGGTGGCAATATTTCTGTGAGCGTGTTGTTTGGTCTTTGTGTTTTGGCACGTGGGTCTCTCCATTTCACCTAGGGGTGCGTCTGATCATGGTGAGCTACGGACTGCCTGGTGGGCTGGTGGGATCCGGCGTTTATTTGTATCGGTTCACCTTGCGGGTGTTCGGTTTCCGTGTTTTGCTGGCTGGCCTTTGTGCGTCCCAGTGGGGTTCAGGACGGTGTTTTTTTTTGTGTTTCGTGAGCGGATGTGTTTCACGCGTGATATTCAGGTTCAATCCCTGTGGGTTTTTTTCAGGTTAGAGGCCTGTGGGTATTCAGGGTAGCGCCCTGTGGTTTTTCTATGTTAATTTTTGTTTGCGTATTGGTGACCGATTTGTTTGTGTGTTATCTGGTGTCCTCATTGATATACTGCCCCTGTTTCCGTAGGCGTGAACAACGTTGCTGTCTGTTCTGCCATTCCTTCTTGTTTTTTTGTCTGAATTTTGGCTCCTGGTATTGCTGAGATGTTTGCGTCATTCCATGTTTCTTTCTTTTTGGGTGTGTCTCTGTGAGTTTTCGTAGCCCCATCGGCTGCGTGATGGTTTTCCGGACAACTCCTGTGCTGTTAGATGACTGGTCACCCGGTTCAGCTGCCGCCGTCTTCGCAGTACCGTCGGTTTGCCTTGGCTTCGCACCAGGGCGAGGTGGTTGTTTTCCGGGGGCCCACGCCTGAAAGTATGGCGGTTCCCTCTATGGGTGGGCCCAGTCTGTTTTCTTTCCACCCCTTTGCTTTGGCTTTTCCCCGTTGTCCGGAGTTACTAATGTATCCTACTGTTTTGGCCCTGCGTATCCGCATGTGTATGTGGTTCACATTTGATTTCTTTTTCTCCTGTCTTTCTTCTCATTTTTTTCTCTCCCATCCTCAGGAGAGGATGCATTTTTTTCATGTGGCCGTATGTTGTCCCTGCCCTTTTGGAGGGTATGTGCCCCTGTTGGCACGTGTGTGCTGGGTACGTGTGGTCGGGGTGCGGACTGCGCAGGTTGCGCATGCCTGCATATTATTGTACGCATTCTTGTTGTTTCTGGCCTTCTTCTTGAGACTCTCCTTGGAGTAAGACTAAAATAATCTGTCCTCTGAGTGTGGCGTACGTGTGATGTATGACTAAGAGAGTAATCGGAAGGGCTATCGTCGAGGAATACCCCCCCCCCCCCCCCCGCCAGCCCAAAGCTGGGCTCCGAAATATACTAGAGTTCTGTCAGAACCATGATTAGTCCTGCGAAGGATTATCACTTTCGCTAGTTGAGCAATCGTGGCTTACAACTCATGGCCTAGAGCCGTAAAGTGTGGTCGTACGTCGACCACACCTTCAGTACAAGTCGTCAGCATTGTACTCACTATACCTTTGGGCTTGAGGGGACCACGCTTAGTCCTGCAAGGGAGCTGATTAGTCATAGCCCAAATTTGCTCAGCCTACATCGATATTTTGCCACACAATTTTGCCACAACTTTTTCGATATTCCGCTTGGCATTTCCTTTCTCCGTCGGTATTTTGCTTTGGTTTTGCTCGAGATAAAATGAGTTTCAAGGTAAACCCAACGATAATTGCCGCTGATGGCGACGGCATTTTTGATTGAGCTTCTGCTGCTGCTAACCTTTCTACAAAAATGTAGCCACGAGTCTGTTTTGTCCAACTTTTGTGCTGGTTTTCAACCTTGGTTACTGATTGTGTTGGGGAAAGTCCCTAAGTAGCCTTGGATTTTCAGATATTTTGCTCAAAGAATTGCTAAAAAATTTGCGCTATGACTACAGTCCATTCATCGGAAACAGGCCCGCTGGCTTTTGAAAGTCGGATTTGGGCCGAATTGAGGATCAAAAACCCACTTTAAATCTCAAAATTGTGGGTTTCGGATCTGCTTCTCCATACATTTTGCCATGGCATACCTGTCCTAATTTTGTAAAACCTGGCTGAATTTCTATTTCCTTGTTCTTGGACTTTTCTGGCCTCAAATGTGGCAAGGAGTAATTGCACGGGTCACACAATGCAAAATGTACTTTTGTTTTCACGATATCTACAACTATGTGAGAGAGACACCAAAAAGTTAGGGTGCCAGTTTCCAATGAATGGACTGTAGAGCTGATACCCTTGTTAGTCGAGCAAGAATGGCCCCTCTTCTCGCGTCGTACCACGTAACAGGTGACAGGTGGATGGCAGTAGATCTACAGTTTCCCTACAGTCCGTTTCAAAAAGATTTGCAATCCTGGCAATCGCCGGCGGAGTTTAGTGTCTTACCGTATGAGTATTCGAGCGCTGCCTGGAAAAACTCACTGTGACCTCGAAGAAATATTCAGCGCGAAAGCAGCAAAAATGACAACTCACTCACGTTGATAGTCATGTACGTCTGGTTTACAACAAACGAGTTCTTCCTCGTATCGATAATGGAGTCAGAGAGGACATATCGAAACAAAAGTGTTGTAAATGTTGACGAGCGGCATGGGTCCCAATTCGTTTTGTGACCACAATAGTTTCTTTGAGCTGCGATGCAATTTACTCACCTTGTGACGAAAACGACATCGACACGGACTCATTCCCAAGGCCATGACTTTGCAAAGCTATCCGTGCGACTTCGACGACATTTTGAGAAAAGCAGACGCTTGTGAACGCTGATAGAAGACGGCGTTGACTGCTAAATTCAAATAAATTGGCGATCTTGAAATACTAAAATAAATCTCAAAAAGCTAGAGTGCGATGACTTCCATTATGATTCACTCACACCATTGCAGTGTTGTGGGTGTGTTCACATGGCGTGAGCCAGTCAAGTGTCAGTCAGTTCGGCAGGAAGCGCCATCTCCAACAACAAGTCGTTTGGTGCAGCCATCTTCTTTGTCTTGTACATGTACCAGCTTGATCACCAAAACAATGAAAAAAAAGTTTGACTTGAGGATAGGTTGGGATTTGAACTCACAACTTCATGGTCAGCAGACAGCATTCATAACCATAAGGCCAAAAAGGAAAGGATAAATCGTGGGTTTTGATAAAAAATCGATACTGGCTTCCTGGGAAAATTGTAAACCATGGGAAAAGGCCGGAAACCTGGC